TTCTGATTAATTTTATTCTCTTGCTTTTAGACCATTCCCCAAATCACTCAAGATCATTACTTATTTTAATTCTGACTTTGGGTGCATTAGTTAGTTCATTGTATTATGTTCCCTACAAATGTTAAAAGCATTTTCTTCATCCAATTATAAATGATTAATAAAAATATTGAAGAGTTGAAGACACAGGACTGATCTTTGTGGCATTCTATATGATACTTCTCTGATTTGATAAGCAACCATCAATATGCACTCTCTGAGTATGATTTCTGACCCAGCTCTGTCCACTTAATTGTCACCCAGTCCATACTTAACTATTTTGCTAATAATGTCATGAGTTACTTTTTGAAATGTTTTGTGCACTAAATATACAGCATTCCCAAAATGTGTTCAAGAAGCACTCAATCAAAATTGACATAAGATTACTTTGACAAGATTTGCCCATGCTAATATTGCTAATAAGTAAGTATATTTTTCCAAATTAATTTCTCTATCTTCTCCAAAATTGTCTTAAGTATTGATCTCATGCTCCTGGCACATACTTTTCTGAATCTTTTTTCTCTCTTTGAAGATAGGGACATTATTGTTTCTCCTTTTGTCTTCTGGCACTTGCTCAGTTCTCGAGGAATTCAGCTGAGACGATTAATTATTTCCTAGCATGCAGTTCATCTGGTCCTGGAAATTTAAACTCATTCAGAATAAAAAAGATAATTCCCAGCCATGTTTCTGTTATTCCCAAGCTCCAGCCACATAATTTATGGGGTTCATTTAGGTTACTGAGTACAACTCCAAATTGAAGCATCTCAACCTATTGCTTTTTATAATTTCTTGATAAAATTCTTTTGTTCATTGAAAAAAAAACCTGAACTAATAAAGGAATTGAATAGCTCTGACTATTTACTTTGTTATCTGATAGCATTTTGCTGTCTTCATTTTTACTTATTGTGAATGTATTTAAAGAAGTCCTTTCTGTTATTCTTAGCATTCTTAGCTAAACTTTTGCTTTCCAGAAACCATTTGAACAATTCTACACAGACTTCCTCTGTGACTGGAACACTTTCAGTTTTTCTCACATGTTCCATTTTTCTTTTGTAACATCTTTATTTAATTAACCTAGGTTATTGTTTAGCATTTTAATGGATGATTGTAGAATGGGAAGTTCCCTTAATAGGCCTGTGAGCAATCTGAAAGTTTGTTTTTTGCAGTCCATATTGTTTATTATTTATTTTAAATTAGCTTCATAGCTCTTTGGGCTGTGGAAGTTTATTTGCTAAAATACAAATATCAAAGAAGTATCTATTGGTGCTATTACATCTTTACTTGCTTTTCTTAGTTCTAATAATTTCATCACAATTCTTGATAGACTTAATTCTGTGAAATCTTTTATTAAATATCATGAAAATAAAACAAATACATATACAGATTTTTTTTCCCTTCCATTCAGTCGTGTTTGATTCTCATTGACTGCCTGCCTGTCTGCAGTTTTCTTGGCAAGTTTTTTCAGAAATGGTTTGTCACTGCCTCTTTCCTAGGGCTGAGAGGAAGCGACTGGCCCAAGGTTACCCACCTGACTTTGTGCCTGAACTGGGACTAGAACTCATGGTTTCCTGGTTTCTAGTCTGATGCTTTAATCATTACATCAGACTATCGTTATATGTAGAAAAGAATAAGTTAATTATAGTAGAGTCATATAGTTCGACTTCAGGGAACACAATGTGGAATAGTTCTTTTTTTAAGACAGATTTAACAGATTTTTTTCCAGTGCAAAAATGTGGATATATCTGGATAGAGAATATTACAAATGAGTTTATTTTGTTTTAAAAGCAAAATTGTCTGATAAGAGCAACAATTTAAAAGTATTAGTAAGTTAAGTTATGTAATTTTTGCTAATTCATTTTGCTTGAACTGATGTTTAACATGGTTTATTCAGGATAAGCAAATTATAAAAATATTGCTTTATTGTGTTCATCTATTTATTCCCTTTGTCTACAACAAGATGATATTGGAGCAGCTTCATAAACTAGCATAGTTATCAAAGGTTACATATTGTACATCTTTGAATTTTTTTTAGTCTTAATATATTGATTTGTACTTCTGATCTAAATTATAATCTCGCTTGTATTTTTATATTTGATTTTTAATAAGGATACAACAGAGAATATACCATCTCTCCCTCGTGTATCTGTGGATTTTCCATGCCTGGAGTAGAAGAGCATATGAAAAGACAATTTCTGTTCTTCTACTTGTCTTTGTGCTAAAAACAGCCCAGAAAGACACAAAGATTTCTCCAACTGAAAAATATCACTTTACTAACTTTACTATGTTTCTGCTAGACTGACTAATGCAGAGGATTTAGTGGTGTTCCTTAGCCCTATTCTCTCCCTTTAGATTTGGCTCAATAATAAGATGAGTTAACAGAAAGCTAAGTCATTTATATTACAATGGCACTTTGATAAGTTGTAATTTCTCTCTCAATGAGTTATTAGATTTTAAAAAATGCATTCTCTACTATGTGGTATAAAGTCAATAAGATACATCAATGATTATGCATATAATTATCCATTTGAATTTTGTCTATAATTTACCATTTTAACTGTCTGCATGGGAACAAAAAAAATGATACATGTAAAAGCAATTGAAGAGAATGCAGCAGTCATTGGCATTTACTCCCTCTTCCAGTGTAAATTCTTTTTTTCCCAAATCTCTGAATTTATGTGGTGATCTCCCCAAATTTAGATATGCTAAATTTCAGTTAATATAATTTTTAGCCATCTGTTTTGGCTGAGAATTTGAGGAATTCATTGAACACAGTGGAAAGATACTTGGATTGGGAAGGATTATTCTACCAATAAGCCTACCTAAAAGTAAACCTATTAGCGGCTATTCCAAAGTAAGTATGCAAAGCTATTCCTCTGCAGTCAGTGCTGGGTAAATATAATTTCTTAATTATTTACATTTTGAGATTAATTACAAGTGATTCATATGGTTTTATTAGAGTAAAATATTCAGATCAAATCCATAGGCTTGTATATTATCAAACTTAACAGCTTCCTTGGATTTCATATGAAAAGTGGGGTGTTAACATAGGATGTAGAACACACGTGCTCTATTGATCTACTCTACAGGAAAATCCAAACAGTGTGATGCCTAATATTTATAAATTTATTATTGTACAAAATTCAGACACAAAACGACATGGGGAAGGAAGAATGTTGAGACCTTTTTAAAATGTTCATCTTGTCTGTCAGGAATGATTCTCAGCACTGCATGGCAATGGCTTCACTGAATAGTAAAAATGATGTCATATAATTCATACTTCATGACCAACGTGATTTTAGATACAGTGCAACATCCCATTGTCAAAATGCGTGGTCCCCTTCTCATTTTATGTATATTGGAAATTTCTCTCTGACTTGGTCTAGTTTGAGAGAAGACCAGATTGAAATACATCTGATACCACCTTTAATCATCATTCTGAACTTTATGTCCACATTTTCTGGTAGATGGATTTTGACTATTAATTTGGTTTTGTATGTTTTCTCTGTGTGATATTTGTGCATTATTAGATGACTAGCCTGGCCAAGGCAGACCTGTTACACTTGCCTGAATTAGGCATTGTTTGCCATGCCACTAAACCTGCCGCCAAGTGACAACTTCATGGGGGAAATGAGAACGAAGTCTGGCCTGCAGAAGATGGACGCCCTGTCTCTGTTTTATTATTTTGTTTTGCTTTATTTTTCTTCTTCTTTTTTTAATTTTGTCCCTTTCTTGCTGTAATTCTTTTGTTTCTATTTGTGAACTGGTTTTTCAGTTCTGTAAAAATGCTGTTCTGTTATAGGAATTCATGATTCATTTTAAACCTATCCTGTGGAACTAATACTGTGTCAGTAAGAGCTGACATAATTCTAAAGTCAATTTAGACTTTACATTTCAACTGTAAGTGCAATTTTAAGATTAGATAATTTGAAATCAGTGGAAATAATTTCTATACTCTTAATTAGGACCATTTTGAGTATCAAATGAAGCCATCAAATTGTTTACATTATCTCCATGTAATTCAGCTTCTATATTATGCATTGATTTCTCTGGACTAAGTTTTGAAGTGTTCATTTCTCCTGTAATGTTTTCAGAAACTTTCTTCTCCCATGCCCCCACCCTGAACCTCTCTATTACTCTTCAAAATATGTATTTGAGCAAATGTTCTCCTTCATGCCTAAGCTTTATGGAAGCCTGATGAGATTTCCCATTGATATTTGAACTACAGAGTATATAAACATATTGGTAATATGATATATGTCAAGAAGGGTAATGTTATTTCAAGACTAATAGATTTTCTATTTATTTAATTTTGATATTCAATATACTTATTTCTGTAACAAATCTTTAAAAAAGGGAATACTCAAAATAACTGCTGACCAGTGTTTGTTTTGTATATTGTCTTCTCTTCACTGTAGCATTCTGTGAGAAGGTGACAAGCATCACTATTTTTTTTCTTGCATCTTGGCACATGATTATGACAGTCTGTCTTGGAATAACAGACACATAGAATTTGAATGTTTTCTACAGAACCTTCCCAAGAACAATAACTTTTGCTATTTTTTTTGCAACAGGGATGAGAGTTCACAAATTATCGTAGTTTTGCATATATGTTTTCTTTTAAATATTTTACTGTGTTCTGATAATTTTATGAGTAAATAGGGAATTACATAATTAGCAGTATACCCTACTAGAAATTTTTGTTTATCTAATGGACCAGCAGGATCTATACTAAAGCTACACATTATTTAAAAATATGAAATAGGGGGCTAAAGTAAGGGGCTGAAATTTTTGATAGAAGCTTTAAATTGATGACTTTAATTACACAGATTGAAGTAGTAGTCAGTTATTAATCAGTTTAAAATGACATAGTCTAGTTCTGAGTAAAAACCTTTTGTGCATGTCCATGCTTTTCACATCATTGCTTGTAAGTGTCATTTGAGTGTTCAGTGTGGTACAGTTGGACCCTTTCTGGATGTAAGTCTATGTTTAGCAGATGTTTAAAAATTATTTTATTTTCTTTCGTTTTGAAGATAGATATTCATTTTGTTGCTTTTTAAAAGAATGCTTGTTTTCTAGTAAATTAGTTACATGTAGGTATGATAGGTTAGAAAGTTCAGTATTTAATACAAGTTGCTCTCTGTTATATTTACTGGATGGCCACCCACTGATCAAAAGCTTCTCAATTAAGTGGAGAAGTTACTTTATGACTTTTCACTTTGTATGATTTTCGATGCTGCTTCCAGGAATGAGGAAATTTGCAGGGGAGAGGAAAATCATTGAAAATTAGCTATTTTTTTCCCTTTTGACTGATGGATGCCTGGATTGGATTAAAATGTGTTCCCGCAGTAGGAGAAATCCCAATTAGATATGGTTATGGAAGACTGCAATTTATAAGCATTTATTTTGGAATGTGCAATTGAACTCTTTAGAATAATAGGAAACTGGGTTTGAAATACTTTCATTTAAATGCAGCCCACTTAATATTTGAGTCAAGATCCTTTTATTTTTAAATCCATTCAATCAAGTGGAACTATTATATGCTTTTTATGTTGCTGGTTTAATCTTTCCACTCAGTCGAAGTTTACAGTATTTCAACTTTTATATATAAAAAGCTTTAAATTATTTCCTTCCAAAACTCAAATTGTCAGAATGTTTAATATAGATCTTCAGGTAGCTTTTTACATCAGAAACATCTTCCCCTTTTTGAAGGGGAATAACTTCTTTTGATCTGCGTTGCAATCTACATTATATCTTTGGCTTTTTTAATGGAACATTATAGCATTAGTAGATTAGTTGGTGAGGCTTTTAAAATAAGAAATAATAAAAAATACTGTGTATTTTTTCTTACTATAAATGCTATTATAATTCTAGATAATTGATGCTTTATGCGGGCAGATTGACTTAAATTCTTGGGCTTGCCTTAATAAGTAACAGTTATTTCAGACAGTCGTGGATCCTTGACAGAGTACTTTACCACCTGCAGCCTGTAATTTCTGGATAGATTAGGAACTAATCCTTTTGGTAGTCCTGTGCTTAAAATATTTACATTTGGATTGTTTGGGCATAACTCACAATATAGTAGCTAGCTATAAAGCATCTTAAAGAGTAGTATAAATAGGTTATCCTTAAAGTACATTTTTAGTAAAGACCAATGCAATCAAATTATTCAAATATGGATAACCGTGGTTAGTGTGGAATAATTTTTATTTAATTATTTAAGTATTTTTATCCTAATTTTCAGTCCCTAACATGAAACATTTCTGAGTTAAGAACTTGAGCAATTTTATTGAGGTAAGCCTTGTTCCCTGAATATGTATAGCGAGAGGCAGAATCTCCTTGTCATCTTGTAAAAACAACTGTGGATCAGCTGCACTGACATTATGCAGATATAACAAACATGTCAGTGATCAAGTAAACATTTTTGTAAAGACTATATTACACTATCCCTCATAATGCTACAGAACTCTGGGCCTTGTTAGGTCAAAGTATCATTATGTTTCTTGCCTTGCTTGATTTGTTGTACCAGATTGACAACTGATGATCAACTGGCAATATTTCACTTTCAGCAGAAGAAAAGGCCAGTTTTTGCTTAGCACACTCCTGTTTCCTCTTTTTCTTTTTGACTGATTTGGTTATTTGCCATTTCTGGGGATTAAACTTTAAAAAATGTTCTTCTTTTCTGTATCTGATGTTCTGTGTGCTATTAGTGATGCAGCCAACACGAACGGTTGTCATGTGTAACACACCTTTCGATCACCGTGAAACAACGTCCTGCGAAAGCGTCCATGCTTGATATCGTTTGGTTCATGAACATTAAGTTTCCAGTACAGGTGACCCATAGCTCAAAGTGTTAAATAATTATCTACTCATTGTTCAGTTTTTAAAGTAAAAATCCGGTAATGAGATTGTAGTTTTGCTCACTTACTGTTCCTAGTGGAGTAGGGGAAAGGAAAACGTGTGTTGTTTTGCTTTTTTTAAAAAAAGGCTGTTGTAGTTTTTTTTTCTTTACTATATTTAAGTTGAAGGGAAATAGTAAATAGAAGAATAAAATTTGAAAGGTGGCCTTACTTTTGATAACAAAACCATTTTGCTCTTCAGGTAAAATTCCAGATGAAGCCAAAGCCCTCTCTCTCTTGGCTCCTGCTCCAACAATGACAAGTCTGATTCCTGGTGGAGGGTTGCTTCCTATACCAACGCCTCCTGTGAGTTCAGTAAGTAATGCTGGATGTAATAATGCAGTTGATTCAGTTACATTTTTTGTAAGTGGCCTGTGGTAGGGATGGCTTTGACAAAATCTAATGTGTAATTAATTAAAATCCAAAGTAAGATGAGGCATTTATTAGGATAAACCAAAATCCTTAACATAGTAAGATTTAGACTTCATCAGAAGCCTATATTAGCAAAGAGGACCAGAGAAAATAGCAAGAAAAAATAATGTTAAAGCTAGATTTTTTACAGATTGGTACAGTCAAGCTGCTAGAGTTTCTGGCTTTAAAAGGACTGAAGCAGCTTTGTAATACTCCAATTATTCAATCTTAGTACATGCTTTTCTGCTAAAAATATTGCCTTATTGCCCAGAAGTTAAAATAATTATTCCTTCATGTTTTAAAACTGAAGAAGTACTTTATAGTATTTTTATAGTGTTTTTAGATAATTTTAAATCAGCATAAAATATTTTTGTATTGATTCAAAACAGAAGAAAGACCCCATGCTTGTCTCAATATTCTCTATTTACAGATAGGAATTTCCCTTGGTCCACTAGGAGCTATACCAGCAACAGCACTGGATAACATTACAGCCATTGGAGACATACCCCAGCCACCCATTATGGGCAATGTGGATCCTTCCAAGATTGATGAAATTAGAAGGACTGTATATGTTGGAAACCTCAATTCCCAGGTAACATTTCTGTTACAGAGGAATATATTAATAAAAAGTGTAGCTGCTTATTTTGTCACTTGTGTATAATTGCAGTTGTTTGCTTCATTTTCTCCATCAGAGAATTACCTTGGTCTTTCATGCAAGCAAAAGTCTAGGAAAACTGTTAAGTCAGAAGTCACAGTGACATGAGATCTTTGCATAATGATTTATATAGTCCTTGTTTAATGATGGCTGCCAGAACTGTTGTTGCTAAGAGGCAGCACCAATATAATACTCTTTTATGTATTTATTATGTTAATTTAAATGGCTTCCCATCTTAAATTCATGATTTGGTTAATGGTATTAAAAAGTACAAAAACAGAAAAAATCAAAAATGGAACGTATAAAACAACAGCTGGGTTAAAAAGAGATGCAGGTTAACATAATCAATGCCTGGGCTTAGCTCCATGTCCTCACCCCTAGGTCCAGGGACAAAACAAAATTTTAAGGTCTTAGAATAGACTGACAAAGTCAGACCCAATCTGATTTCTGTGATGATAATGATCCAAAGCATGGGCATCTTTGCATTATTATATGTATTTGGTCCCCCCCCCCCCCCCCCCCATTATTGACCACCCAAATCCAGTGGACTTGGCAGCATACAAGACACTAGAAAAAACATTAAATCATTTCTTGCTATTAATATTGGTATTCAAGATGTAGGAATAGTTTTCATTTTAGGGACAGAAATTAACATTGTAGTTGGCATGATTCCAAATAAGCAGAATGAGAAATAAATTTGCAAGTTATTTTTAATTTGAGTTGTTTTCTTCCCCCCCTCTCAGACTACAACAGCTGATCAGTTGCTTGAGTTTTTCAAGCAAGTTGGAGAGGTGAAGTTTGTGCGGATGGCAGGTGACGAAACCCAGCCAACACGCTTTGCATTTGTGGAATTTGCTGATCAGAATTCTGTACCTAGAGCTCTTGCCTTTAATGGAGTTGTATTTGGAGACAGACCATTGAAGTAAGAAAAACAGATTTTTTATAATAAATTTCTATCAACATAAGCCAGAATAGATAGAGTTTGTAAAAGTTGTAGTTCAAAACATCTGGAAAGTATTAGGTTGCCTATTTCTAGCATAGTATATACATGCATATTCTTCATAGGGACATTTGTGTGCATTTCTGCAAAATTTGTGCAAGTCCCATGGGTTTATTTAAGCAATTTATTGCACATGCTTAATAAATAGATCTGCTGTATGTCTGTAGGAAAAATGCAAATGTTTTTATTGGTAACTAATTGACTTCAAATAAAACAAGTGATAACGTTTGCTATAATTAGTTAATAAATAACTTTTGGACAGAAACCATGGATAAATTGGGGATTTAGCACAGAAGCTTTGGCTGACCTGTAGGAAGTTGAAGTTCATTCTTGGCATGTCCAACTGGAAGTATTTCATAAAATGTGAATGGAAAGGTGCTCTTAAGAAAATCAGAGAACCGTCCCACTATGTGTATGTTATATTTTCATAAAGGCAGCTGGTTCTGTACTATATTGACAGGGTCCTGGTCTGTGCTAGAGACCTTGAGCAACTCACTGCACTGTTTGAGAGTCTTGGAAATTGAAATTTCTCAGCACCATATTAAATGCTGTAAAATTTAGAGTTTATTTTAATTTAGAGGTTGAAGGCATATTTTGAAAAACCAGATAAGAAGCAGCTTAATGGCTTCATTTTTGTTTCATCTTATATGTATAGGGACAAGCAATTGGCCACAAACATCATTCCCACCTTCTTTTTTTTACATTCAAGAAGTGTTCTAATATCTAATAACATTTAAAATGCTATGCTAATTTAATATTTTGCTTGGATCTTAACAAAAGGAAGCAGTAAACTGAAGCTAAATGGTGTCTTGATAGTCAAAATGCCTCTGGGCTTCAGATAGATCCCTATGCATTCTTAGGAGAGCAGAGGAGGCTTAGCAGAGCAGTAATGCAACAAAAGAATTAGATGTGAGAAAGTGATGGAAGGAGTTAAGGAGTTATGGGACTATGATTTGACAGAAGGGGAAGAAGAAAAACATCTGAGTTCAAAGGAAGTATTTTACTAACAGGTCTCAAGTCTTTCTTGTACCATGTTTTTCAAATTTTCAAAGTTTTCTGTCTCATTAGCCGAGAGGAGGAATAGGCAGGGTAAGTAATTGCTAAAAGCTGTAGGCTTTTATGAGCCCCCCCCCCCCCAATGGCTCAGCAGTTAAAGATGCTGAGCTTGTCAGCTGGAAATCCAACAGCCCAGGTTTGAGAGCCGAGCGCTGCACAACGGGAATGGCTCCTGTTCCTGCACTAGCTCCTGCCCACCTAGCAGTTTGAAAGCATGCGAAATGAGAGCAGATAAAAGGTCCTCGGACAATGCTGGCTTCTTCAGCTAAGACACTGAGATGAGCACTGCAGCCTGGAGTTGGACACGACAGGACAGGAAAATCTTTATCTTTACCTTTATAGGCCTTTATGTAAAATGTATCTCTGATAGATTTTAACTCCCCCTCCTTTAATTATCATAATATATAAAAAACCTGCCTGATTGTTCCTCGGAATAATAAGATTTTTTAAAAAATCAGTAGTTTTATCTGTCAAATTCATTGTTTTGAAGTCTAGTCTAAACCATCCGCGAGCTAATAAATAACAAGAGTCCATTTTCTACTCAATGGCAAAAAAAAAAAAAAAAAAAAGATAGAATGAAACATATGCATACATGCAGTGAAATAACTAAATAAAATATGTGGTTTAATTTAGAATAAACCACTCCAATAATGCAATAGTGAAGCCACCTGAAATGACACCACAAGCTGCTGCAAAGGAGTTGGAGGAAGTGATGAAGAGAGTACGGGAAGCTCAGTCTTTTATATCAGCTGCTATTGAGCCAGGTAGGTTTTTCTTTGCCCTGTATTTCCACAGGGGTAACTCCTGGCATGTATGTTTGGTGGAACACTTTTTTTTTCCTCTAGGAAACAGGGAGAGGCTATCCTGGGCAGAATTCTTTGGTGGACTCAGTAATTTTGAGTTTAGTACTTGATAGTCAAGAATGTGCAGTTAAGGTACCTGATAGCACTGTTTTTTAATGTCAAACTATTTAATAATTTTTAATAGCTTAAAAAAAGGACTATTTGTTGGCCCAACTCCTCACAATTTCCCAACCATCTTTCATTCTATGGTCTCTTTAATTCTTTCAGATTTTTTATTTTTGTTACTGCCTGACCTGTTTCTTTTCTTTTTGGGCTTCTGTCTCATTATGGTTTGCAGCTCCATTATTTTGGATTGAAGTATAACTTTTCTTGGGTGTTTTGTTTGAGTGCAGATGAGTAACGTGCTCAGTTGCTCTGCTTTTTTATTTTTAGGTATTGGGGTTTAGAGGACATTCCTAAATTTATTAAAGTAGATGTAATACCCAGAATCATCAGAAAATTATGATAATTAGGAAAAGGTCAAAACTAGCAGTATTGGACTGGGAAGACTGCACCTAAAGTAAACTGTTCAGCACTCACTTTTATAAAAACTGCTAAAATAATCCATGCAGTTAAAATTAGTCATTTTCTACAACATCAGAAGACAACTGACAGGCAAAGTCTAGCAATAATTTGATTTTGTAATGAAAATTACTGAAGTAATTGGCAGATTATTGAGGAACAAATATCAGACCATGAAATTTTCTTAAGTACCTTATGAAGAAAAAGAAATTCTGACCCTTAGCATTCTTGTTTTCTTATTAAAATGGCCTTTAAAAATGAAAGAAAACATCATACAGATTATCTTGGTAATTTTTCTTGATATGGCTAACATCTAGCCAGTCCATTTTCAGTAAACAATGTAAAAAAAAAACCCAGACCTTAAATACCATAGCCATGTAACTAAGTTTGTAGAATATTAAAGGACATATATTATGAATCAGTCTATCATTTTATTTCATGTTATTATAAAAACTGAATGAACAAAATTTTAATTTCTTGATTCTGGTTCTAGAATTACTGCTTTTCTTATAGGCGAGTCCATTATGTTCTTAAAGATTTGAGGATTAACTACTTAATTATAGTAATGCTTTGGCAATAAAAATCCAGTGCTATTCATGTGCATTCTGCATAGCATTTCAAAATTCTATCAGATTTTATGTGTTTTCTGTCTGAAATCAATTTTACCAAACATGTTTTAATCTTGTGCATTGTGGCAGCAACAAATCCCATTCCTTATTTAGCTAGCTGTTTATAATTATCTGGTTTATGTGTACTGCTGCAGGATGGCTGCACTCAACGAATATATGCAATGACTTTCTTGGATGTTTCTGAAGGATTTTTGCAAAGAAGGAAGATGTGCAGAGAGTAGGCCCCTTGCAATATATGTGGTACATTCCACTTGTGCCAGATTGTTAGCTGGGATCTTTAAATATTCTGAGCTTACACTGCAAAGTCGTTTTTTCTCTCAGAGTCTGGAAAGAGCAGTGAAAGAAAAGATGGTCGATCGCGTTCCCATTCCCATTCACGTTCAGAATCCAGATCTAGTTCAAAATCTCGAAGAAAAAGATCACACTCAAAACGCAGGTAAGTCGTCTACATGAAAACTTCTCTGAATTTGTCTTCTCCTATGTCAGCTAAGGCAGGTGTCCCCAATTCCCAGCCATGGCTTGTTGGGAACTGGGCCACACAAGCAGCCAAATGGGACTTCCAATTTTTGGTTAAGTTAGGAGGGAAGTTCTACCAAGGAGGACCAAGATGAGATTGAGTCTTCTTTGTGCATCAACATTTTATTTAGTACATTATATGGTGTGATAGTGGTGATACGTGCTACAGAAAATAAAAACAGTAAAAAATAAAAAGTGTCTCAAGATTGAAAAACAAAATGGCTGTAGACAACATGTGAAGTAATAATAAAATATAATGCTTTTTTAAATCCAAGAATTATTTAGACTTCACAAACGTAATGATACATTATGAGGAAGTTGTGTATGAGTATACTAAAACGCTTCCATTATACTGTTGTTAGAAATGACTATGAAAAATATCTGTCTTGATCCATAGCATTCATCCCAAGAGTGCCACATATTTAATATTCATATTTATCTCCAGCCATTTTTTTTACATCCAATAATATATATTGAAATTTTAAGACCTTAATAAAAGCACAAATTAATGAGTAAATGTATTTCTTCAACTCGTTCCTTATCTGTGAATCCACATTCTTGCTCTTATGATTGAACCTTCTATGATGGAATAGGCAGCCCAGGTTATCCCCAGGCTTACCTGTAAGAATTATTGCTAAAGTTGGCATAGTTTTATTGCATATAAATAAGCTTAACAGGTTAGTTTCTCTTCCCTTGCCCCCTCCCAAAATGGGAGACATAGGGATGTTACAATGTATAATTAAAGCTAAATTCAGGTGCTTTGAACTGGCTGTGAGGTTTAAAAGGTTTAAAAGAATTTTATAGCCCTTTTTGTAAACTGATAAATTATAAGATTATCATAATTTGTCATCATTATTCATACAATAATTACATTTCAGTTGCCTTTTGCTTTGAAGATGGCTTTGGAACATATTGTTTGGCTTTTCATGTTGTTTAGTAACTTGTGAATGTTCTATTTTTTTAAAAAAATGCACAATAATGCAGGCAACATAGAAAGAGAACCAGTATGATTTATAGCATTTAGCCTCTACAATTACTTGCTACAGGAGTAGATCCCGTGATAGATCACGCTCTAGTCAAAAGGACAGACGCAGATCCAAAAGTCCTCTCCCAAAGCGTTCAAAGTCTAAAGAAGATCGCCGAAGATCAAGAAGCAGTTCTCCTCCTCGGTGAGATTCCTATAATTACGGCTATTACATATTTTTGATATCACCAAACACTAAGAGGCTTAGGACTAATCCTAAAACTTAAATTTAATAGTACATCTTGCTATTGAATTATAATTGCATGTTATCCAGCTGTATATACAAACGGCATGAATAGCAGTTAGCATAATATCATTTTTGTTTACTGATTTTTCTATCTGCTATTTTGTAATTTTTCTGCCATCAGTACTCGGTGCAACTTGTTAAAGGACAATTTTGGAATTAAGTTTACTTGACTTGTGCTCTCTTACAGTAATGTTAGGAAAGCTGAATTAATAAATATTTTCTTTTCTCAGGGAGAAGAGGAAAGAAAGCAAAGAGAGGATTAGAGAAAAAGAAAAGATTAGAGAGAGAGACAGAGATAAAGAAAAAGAGAAGGATAGAGATCAAGAAAAGGATAAGGGCAAGGAAAAAGAGAGAGGCAGAGAAAAAGAGAGAGGGAGAGAGAGGGAGAAGGAGAAGACCAAGGATAGAGACAAGGACCGAATGAAAGATAGGGAGAAGGAGCGAGAAAAAGACAAAGAGAAGGAGAAGGACAAAGAAAAAGAGAAGGAGAAAGCAGCAGATATGGAAAAAGAAAAGAGAGAAGATTTGGACAAAGAAGGAGAAAAAGAAAAGGAGAGAGAGACAGAAGGAGACAAAGAGAAGGATGACAAAGAACACGTCAAAGAAAAGGAGGAAGACAAAGGAAAGGAGGAAGAAAAGGACCATGAAAGAGATAAAGAAGGAGAGAAAGCAAAAGACAAAGAAAGAGACAGAGACCGAGAAAGAGATGAAAAAAAGAAAAAGGAGAAGAGATCTAAAACACCTCCTAGAAGTTATAGTTCCTCAAGAAGATCACGTAGTTGTAGCAGGTTTGATTTTTTTTCAAAGTTCCTCAATTCTTTTTTAAAAAATTTAAATTGTAGTAAATAGTACATTTAGTGCATACTAAAACAATGATGAGACAATGATTATTTGATACCTGTTGCATATTTTTGAAGGGATTAAATTAGGGCCACACTATGAATCAATTACCATATGCTTTTCATCTGGTAAATAATGAAGGATTCCAGATATAAACCTTTGGTGCTTCTGGACAAGATTTTTCATTCATATCAAGTCTGTGAGTCAGACTTTCACAGCCGTTTCTGTTTTAAATTTGGGGCCAGCCTACGCTAGCAGACGAACACAGTACAGAAGCCTGATGATGGCAGATGAGATTCTGCCGAAATGTTGCTA